AAAAACCACAGGGCATCGCAACGTTTGTCGCGGTCACTCATCTCGCTTCGAGGCCACCCTGTCCGGGCACGCTCCCCCCCCCCGCCTCCCCCCCTTCCCTTCCATTCCTTCGGAAGCACTGCCCCCGAACAGCGTCTCGCTGCGGGTGTCTGACGGTTGTCACGGGAGGGGCCGTGGGGGGGTCATCTGCTTCCGGCACGGGGGAACTGTCGCGGTCTCGTCGTGGGCCATTCCGTTCCATGCGCGCCGTCGCTCGAGGACGGTGCGTCCTGGGCCCAGATCGCGCGGCGGGGCACAGGGCTCGCACCACTCCGGGCCTCGCCGGTCCACAGAGTGCGGCAGGGGCAGCGGCTTCTCTCACCCTCCTCGGCCCTCCAGGCCGAGCAGAAGTGCGGCACGTGCCTCGGGCTCTCGCCCCTCCAGGCCCTCCCGTGTCCAGAGAGTGTGGCACGAGCGCAGGGTTCTCGGCATCCCAGGCCTGCCAGGTGTAGGAGATGAGGTGCGGTAGGTTCGCGTCGTGCCAGCCGGCGGCGACCCCGCCGCAACGATCTGCCTCTTCGGACGCGGCCGATCGTTCAAGGTTCAACGATCCTGGCGGTGTCAGGAACCAGCGCCAGGGACACGACACGACACGAACCTGCCCTAGGAGCCAAGGGTTCTTGCCCCTCCTGGCCTCCCGGGTCCAGAAGCTGGTAGCAGGGGCATCGGAGCGCCATCAGCTCAGGTCTGCAGAGGCCCGCGAAGTGTGGCGGGGACCTCGGATCCACTCGGGCTCCGACCGAACTTTGACTTTGGGGTCGGCTGGAGTCACAGAACGGATGAGGTGGTTGGCGCATTGGGGCAGCCGCTCGCGCCTCTGCGAGCAGTGGCGGCGTCGAGAGTCGATGCCCGAGCGCACACGATTCCACGATGCCTGCCGGGTCCAGAGGGTGTGGCAGGGGCATCGGATCCTCGCCCTGCCAGGCCTCCCAGATCCAGCAAGAGCGGCGGTGGCCTCGGATGCAGACCGCTCCAGATTTGCTGGGCCCGGCTGCCATTTCGGGACAGCGTGGCTGGGGCATCCGATCATCACAGTTCCAGCCTTGCCAGGTCCGTTAGTCACCCAAGACGCCTGCGGCGAGTCACCGCGCTCCCTGCTTTTTGGACACGCCCAGCGTGGCCAGAGCTTTCAGGCGGATTGGCGTAAGGCATGAGGTGCAGGCGCTTGCGTGACAGGGCTTCGCATCTCATAGAAGCGAGAGCCAATACGATAGCATTCCGCAGCCATGCCTGCCCACTTGTTGCCACAATGACAAGGGGGGACACAGGGGCAGGGATCCGCAGGAGTGCCCTCAACGCGTGGTAGTGATGGCAGGCGATTGTTTTTGTGTTTCTGATCAAGTAAAGCTGTTAGCCGGCGTGGACCCCCAACAGTGTGGCTCTAGCAATGTATGCTGTTCAACCTGTGTGGTGCAATCTATGTGGTGCAATTGACTACCCTGCACCGCGCTTGACCACCTCCACTGCTCGCGCAAACATCCCACCCACCCACCTGCAACTTGGTTTGCAAAATCCCTTCAGACCGTGACGGTGGGTACCACATGGCACTTGGCAACGACAGCGACGCCGACGACGACAGCGACAACGACGACGACGACGCCGCCGACAACGACTACGACGACACCGACGACGTCTCCAACGACTTCGACTACGCCGACGACGACGACGACACCTACGACGACGACGCCGACGCCGACGACGACGACGATGACAACGACGACGACGATGACGACGCCGACGACGACAACGACGACACCGACGACGACGACGTCGACGTCAACGACGCCGACGACGACGACGACGGCGGCGGCGACGACGACGACGCCGACGTTGACGACGACGAAGACGACGACGACGCCGACGCCAACGACGACGACGAAGACGACGACCGCGTCGCCAACGAAGACGACGACGAGGGAGGAGGGAGGACGACGACGGCGACAACGACGACAACGACGACAACGACGAGGGAGGAGGGAGGACGGCGACGACTCGAACGACGAAGAAGGAGGAAGAACGGCGACGCCGACGACGACAACGACGAGGGAGGAGGGAAGACGACGACGACGACAACGACGACGACGACGACGACGACGACGGCCACGAAATAGGAGGGACGACGATGAGATGCCGACGACGGACGACGACGACAACGAGGGAGGAGGAGGAAGGACGACCACGGCGACAACGACGACGGAAACGACCACGACGCCAAAGAGGACGACGACGACGAACACGAGGAAAGGCAGAGGACGACGTAGGCGACGAGGACGACGACGACGCGGGAGGAGGGAGGACGGCGACGACGACGACGACGCCGCCAGAGCGCGCGCGCATGCTTTTGTTGAAAATCCGTGTTGCGAAACCTTGTGTTTTTGTAGGTTTTTTGGACACGATTTTGAAATCGTTCCGAAACCGATGGGTTTTGAAGGATTTCTGCATACGCGCGCGACGACGCGCGCGTCTGCACTTCGTCGCGTTTTTTTATGCAGAGGATTCTCGCGACGGCACACGCGCAAGAGCGTTCGACAGATTTCGACATGCGCGCGCGCGAAGCCCGTTTGTTAGCATTTTGTGAACATCTTGAAAAACCTATGGTTTCCTAAAGATTTCGCAAGAGCTCGCACGTAAGCTTTTTTAGCATATCAGTGTTGCGAAACCCTTTGTTTTTGTATGTGTTTTTTGTTCGGAAACTCGATTGCGAAATCCTTCCGACACCGAAGGTTTTTGAAGGATTCCGGCATGCGCGCGCGACGACGCGCGCGTGTGCACTTCGTCCCACTTTTTGCAAGGGATTCGCGAACAAGTTTTACTTTCGAGCAACAAATGTCCCTGCGTATTGTTTTTTAGCAGGGAACCTCAGGGGGGTCGATACCGGCTTCCCAGGGATAGTGTAAATTCGCAGTTCGGATGGACATGTGGTCAGAATCATATCAGGTTTACATACCCGAAAAAGGGAGACCGATAATGCCAGGGGTGTGGGGGGGTAGAGTCTATTCTCTCGTTCGACAGGAGAATATATTTGGTTCGCAGTGCATTGTCCACTCCACTGCTCGCGCAATCATCCCACCCACGCGCCCGCAATTGAATCTGCAATACCCATGCGGCGGCGATTGCGATGAGTGCTTGGAGTTGGTGCGTGCATCTTTGCGGCCGCGCCAGCCCGCGTATGCTCGCGCGCGCAGCGGCCGACTAGTTTGGCGCGACTGACGCGGCCGCGGTGGCGCTGACCGCTGGGCACTTCCCAGCGGGCACTTCAGTGCGAGTCGGCGACTTGGGCGGGCGCGGTATCATGGCAACGTCGACAACGGTAGACGCGATGATGACGGTGGTAGCGATGCTGGTGACGATGATGACAACGACGACGGCAAGGCCAGGGACGGCGCCGATGGTGATCACGCCGACGACGATGACGGCGTCCTCGCGTCGGTGATGAAGATTTTGGAGGAAGTTCGACATGCGCGCGCGGCCGACGCGCGAAAGCGGCCCCCATGGTGGTACTTGACACGGCCCGCGCGAAAGGGTGTTCGAATGATTTCGGCGTGCGGCGTGAGGGGCCCTTTTGGCAGAATTTGTCGAACATGTTGAATAAAGATGGTTTTCTGGAGAATTCACAGGAACGCGAACGCATTTTTAAAAGGATGCTGCAAAACTATTGGTTTCTATACATGCACATGTATATGTATGTATGTATGTATGTATGTATGTATGTATGTATGTATGTATGTATGTATGTATGTATACGCATATATAAATATATATGTATATATATATATGTTTATTCATGCGGGGCACTCGATTTGGGAATCCTCACGTCACGACACGTTTTTGAAGGATTTCGGCACGCTCGCGCGACGACGCGCGCGCGGACATCGTCGCCTTTTTTGCAAGGGGTCCATGCGACAGCATGCGCGCAATGCGCGCGTGATGGGCCCGTTTGGCAGCATGTTATGGGCATGCTCAACAAACTATGGTTTTCTTCAGAGTTCCTAACTAAGGCCGCGACCGCACTTGTTTTTGAACGTTCTCGTTGCGATATCATGTTCTTATATGTTGTTAAAATTTGCTCTGGGGTGCCAGACTTACTGTTTTCACGAAGCCTGGAGTTTTTTTGTTGTGTGTTTTTGTGCCGTTTTTGTATATATATATATATATATATATATATATTATATATATTATATATATATATATATATATATATAGATTAGCATGCGCGCACGACGACGCGCGTGTGTGCATTGCGTCATCTGTTTGACGCGAGTGCGCGCGCATTGTTTTCATGGTAGAGGGTAAGAGGGGGAGATGCAGGCCTGCTTGGGAGGTATGAATTCATATGCAGGGTGGACGATGGGCAGAACCAAATCAGAATCAGGGGTACCGTTGATTTGTTGACGGTGGGTGCTGGGGCGTAGATCCTAATATCCCTTCAAAGAGGAGGGCCTATGTAGAGCACTTCATTTCTGTTCGCAGTGAATTGTCCACTCCATTGCTCGCGCAAACATCCCACCCACCCACCCGCAACTTGGTTTGCAAAATCTCTTTAGGCCGTGACGGTGGGTACCACATGGCACTCGGCAGCGACAGCGACGCCGACGACGACAGCGACAACGACGACGACGACGCCGCCGACAACGACTACGACGACACCGACGACGTCTCCAACGACTTCGACGACGCCGACGACGACGACACCTACGACGACGACGCCGACGCCGACGACGACGACGATGATGACGACGATGACAACGACGACGACGACGATGACGACGCCGACGACGACGACAACGACGACACCGACGACGACGACGACGTCAACGACGCCGACGACGACGACGCCGACGGCGGCGACGACGATGACGCCGACGTCGACGACGACGAAGACGACGACGACGCCGACGCTGACGACGACGACGAAGACGACGACGTCGCCAACGAAGACGACGACGAGGGAGGAGGGAGGA